AAATTATAAAAATATGTGCAAACGTTGGCGAACGGACACGGACACACACAACAGGAAACACACACGCACATACATAAGAGAAAGGGGTGCGAGCAAAAGGAAACACACACAAGTGGGTGGGATGTGGTCGAAGACAAGCAAAGCATTTATTTGTCAATGGATATGAATGAAATATGAAATATCACTTTTTTAATATACAAATGGAATGAGTTCATATTAAAAAATATCAACTTTTCCATTGATCCTTTGAATATAAAATAAAATGCGGAAATAAATTGAAAAATATAAACATATCCATTATTTAGAAATTGTCACACTCCTCCCTGGGGGAGAGTTAATATATTATCTAATTCCTTAAATTCATTCACTTCATTTATTTCCAAACCGACAACAAAATACAACGTTCAATGTTTCAAATGTTTAACACATTTCGACAATATTTGATTTAAAAACACATCTTTAAGACCTGTGAATACAACAAACACGATGACGTTTGGCCGTTTGTAGTGTGAGCGCTCTACCCAAAAACGTTCGTTTTAAAAGCAACAAAAAACTCAGAGCGGAGGAAAACCCCCCAAGAGAGAGTGGAATGTTGAGACCGACCGACCAGTTTGCGGCTGGCTACGCTTTATTTATTTTATAATCCATTTATGTTATTACTTTTTTCACGCCCATTGAGAAAAACACAATCCACACACAAATCGACAATGTATGGTATCGTGTGTTAAGAAACAACAGCAGCAACAACAACCATGAAAATAATACTACAGTCATGCCAACCAAGCTGATAGACAGACAGACATCAAACGAATCGCAAAACAAAACAAAGACACAAAAAAACGAAACACTGTAAATTAATAAACTGTGTAAAGTGATGCAAAAATAACATTAGCACTCAAATAAAAACAAAACCAACAACAAAATTGCTGTCAATAATATATGGAGAAATGACAGGAGGGGATGTTGTGGGGCATTAGAGCACAGTGGTATGGATCAATGAATAATTGGACCGTCCAATAAATAGTTGGTTTTTAACTGCAACTTATTTGTGTTTTTGACATTTGAAATGTGTCAAAATATATTCAGCCCAATCATAAATATCTGCGCGGAATTCTATGCTCACGGAAATCATTTTTCCCGAAAATTCTATGCTTACGGAATTAATTTTTCTCGAGATATCATTTCTTCCACTTCTCCAATCATGAATTATTGTGGATAAATGATGTGCGAAGATGGCAACGCGAATGTGTCTTTTTCGTAATTAGTGTGCCCTATGTGCAAATTGGCGCCAATTTAGTGCTTTTGTTCTTTTTATATAAAATATAAGCGATTTGAAGAAGCAAATTTACAATATAAGGATTTGTATATATGTGTTCGGTGTTGGTAAGCCAATGGGTCCTCATAGAAGTTTGGATATGCAATCCAGAACGACAATTTCATTAAAGTCTTTCGGTAGATTTTTCCATGAAATATTGATGAAGAAAAATATGGCTTCGTCTTATCACTTGCACCACTGTACGTGGTGTGCACACATTTGGGTGTAAGTGAAACGGGTGGTAACATAATCATACTAATCACTCTCGTGCACATGACGACGACAAATGTACAACGCCACCGCCAACACCGATTGACAGACCGACCATGTTTGACTTAATAAATATATTTCAAATTAAGCGCTTTAGTAAAACAAGCAGGATCGCCGCAACCATATGCATATAAAATACCGATATTAAATTACACATTCATTATTGCACCTCCCCATGCTTCGCGCTACTGCTGCACTCCACTCACCACATTGATTATTAAAATCTGTTGTTATTGTTGTTGTTTTTTTTTTTGCCGCCAGACAGTGTATCAATTCTATTATTTGATAGTCGTTTGGTTACCAGCAGCTATGTAAATTTATAATTGTGCAATTTGCCACTGCCAGTCATTATCGGTCGTTTAGTTTATCCATGGCTATGCAAGTGTTGTTCTTGTTGTTGTTATTATTGTTTGCCGTTAATTTCGATTAAACTTTAATGACAAAATTGCAAAAGTTCATGTCCAAGCATGCAGCAACAATATTAACAACTAGTTAAAATACGACTTCTGTGTGGTTTTTTAATTGCATAAACTAAATTAAATTGAAAGTCAGTTGACCAACAATAACAATTCATATTGTAGTTCAAAAAAAGAGGAAAATGACATAAAATTATATAATCAAATTAAACACATTCTAATATGGGCTACTCCTGTGTTGAACGTCATGTTTAACAACGGGAGCAACTCAAAACCAAAAAAGTGAAGTTCATTTACTTCACCCTTGAACTAAGGTCAAATATTGAAATAAAGTCAATGAAAACACACAGTGTATAAGCAAAATTAAATAGATATGTGATACTATGATTTTACTGCTTCATTTCATTGAGTTCGGATCAAGTCATGAATCATCCGATCTCTCTTTCAACATTTAAACCAATTCATTGTATGCTAGACTCATTTCTTGCAGTCAATCTTTTGCAAATACCTTAGAATTCACCCAAGAAATATGTCCGCGAATTTGGAAAAAAATTGATTCAGGTATACAATGCCGAAAGCTATAATTACGATCCAAAAATGCCCAAAGACTTTGAGGCATAAAATAAATAAAATAAAAAATGTCGTCTCCTCTGAGATAAATTTAATTATACAGAGGACGTTCTGCATTAATCTATCCAAATTGTAGTCGGAAAGAGTAATGACTGACCTAAAAGGCGGGTGAGTAAAATGCCCCCAAATGTGTTTTGACAGGCTTTGTGACATTTGATTGAGCGTAGTAAAAATGAAAGATTATATTTTTATGTCTGGGGGACTGCTATTCTGATCGCTTTGGATCAATTTGGCTTGGTAGCAGCTTATAATACAAAACACCCTTCTTCATAGCATCAAATTAAGAGAATTACCTTGGCGCCAGAAATATTCGACTACGGCGTTAATTTGCCTAATTTCCCGGGATTCAGGTTCCACTTTTCCGTTTGGGGTCATCCTAATGTGTCCATATTTTTACCCCACACCACTTTTCGTTATCTTTCGGCAAGCAATGTATTCCGTGATAAAATAACTCATCCGTTTTTTGAGGCAAAGAAACAAAGCAATTTCTGATACCCCTTTGATGAGAAGTATATTCCACCAAAGGCGTTCTGTATCGATCGAAACAAATGTAGTCAGGAGAGGAAAGACCTGGTATGTAAGGTCAGAACTCCATATCCAATGTTTCCAAATAGTTATTGAACATTTAAGATTATGTTTTCGTATCTTGTCGACTATTCTCATCCCATTTCGTTAATTAATCTATTTATGCAGTGTTGGTCCTCTCCGATCATTTGCCGCTCATTATTAAAAAGATCCATCTGATCCCAAAAAATCCTAGATACACCAATTAGTCAGAGTTTATTAGGTGTTCTGTTTTTATATGCAAGCGACTACAAAAAGGATAAAGGCACCAGGCATTCCGCCCTAACCCAATCATTTAACACTCATATAAACCTAATGACAATCAAAGCGTTTTTCAGGCGGAGATTCTTGTAACAAAAATGGCTTTATATGTCGATAGTAAAGTGATCCGCAAAGCTCAAGTGCCATAAAATCGAGTCACTCTTCACTGCAAGAAGACCCACCATGAAACATGTGGACTCATTTAGTTTTGTTGGGTTCCAGGGCATAGCAATGAAGTAGGGATTGAAGTGGCTGATGAATTAGTTCGAGGCGGAGAACAAGCTCCCTTCTAACACTTAATAGGTTTGATCACTGCAGTATCAGATATATGATGACGTAAAGATGGGACAATAGTGTTCCTGACTACTGCAGGCTATATAAACATGCCAAATTAGTGTAGCTGCGTATCCTTAAACCAAACCAAAACATTCCAACAAACGCAGATCTTTTCTTTGGCGCCAACTTTTCGGCGTAAATTTAGTTGGCTGGCTTGAATTAGTACAAGACTTTTTACGCTTCTAGGTTCTCAGAGAATATAAATATCTAGCGAGCATTGTACAAATTGCCTATGATTTAAATGTAGTCATAATAAATGTATTGTTCTTTAATTGATATAATTCTTCTTAAGCAAACTATGGAATTATATAATCACAATTATAAAATAATTACTGTTATAAATAACTTTTAATTTCTTATAAAACGAAATTTGTATTCAATTAGTACACTGTTAATAGATATGTACAGAATAGAAGTTTCAAAACAAAACTTTTATTTCACTTGTAAAGCAAATACAATGCCCACAAGGAACTCTTTTTGCAGCCTCATCAGAAATTCATCACTAGCCCATAAGGGGGAGGAACCAAAGGCCATCATAATCAAATTGCCATAGCTCCCTTTTTGGCGTACAGTAAAAATTATGAGTTAAACATGCCAAACTGAAAAAATATACCATCATAAGACAAAACTTTTCTGTTCCAAGTTATTTTAATAAACTACAACAGCAACAGCAGCAACAAATTTATATAATACACACAGGTACATAAAAACTATAATTAAGTGGTGTCGTCTCACTCTGTGTGTGTGGCTGGGGTTTTGTTATAATAAAATAATGTCCATAAAATAAAACACTAATTAAAAGATTATAGAATGTTAAAAGGCCACCACTTGAAACGTATTAAACGTACATAAAAGGATGTGGCGGAGGACGAAGAAAGTAACACACAACCAACCCCCCATGAATTGAAACTTTGTGAATTAAATCGTATGCTGCCACCATCCATCCACCCACCCAACCAAAAACAAAAATCTGCTGCCAAAGTCTTTTATTGCCCAACAGCCATGCCAAATCAAGCTTCTTTCTGACTTGCTGTGTGGGGAGGGATGGCATACAGAAAAGCGTATTATGAAATTCCTTGAAATACAACAAAGAATAAAGCACACAAAAAAAGAGAGAACATCAAAAAAAAAAAAAACAAAAAAGAAACAAAACGTAAACGAAAAAGAAACAAAACGTAAACGAAAAAGTAAAAGGAAACTCAACTTACCATATAACAAAGAGTCAAAAAAGGAAATACAAAGCGTTGCGAAACGTTGATACTGATGCTTATTTAATGGACCTCCTTTATGTTCCGGCAAACAATTTTTTTCTTTTGGTGTACGAGAAGGAAACACGACGAATCTGTCGGACGAGGGTCGTTCACTCGTCGTGCTGTCGTCGTCGTCGTAAACACCCACAATAACGCCAAAGGATACCCCACCACCAAACGAAGGCAATGGAATTGGAAGTCAACTGGTAAATCCAATGGTTTGTTTTCGTTTTTAAAAAGTTGTCAGCAGCAGCAAGCAGCTGCTCTAGACTGTTGACGATTAAGTTTGGCGATTAAAGAAAATCAATTCCGGAAAAGAGGAAAAATGTGTCGAGTAATTGTAATGATGATACTGTGTCGTTTATGATGATGTGGATGACGATAGTATGGAGATGGCGATAACACTGCGCCAGTGATGATAAAACGCTCCTCTACTGGCTGACAGTCAAACGAATCCGGTCAATTATTTAACATTGCCCATTAAAGATTTTGGGGGGGTTGTGTGTCTTTCTAGTTGGATGTTGAGATGACGACATCAGCCGATTTGATGTGGAGGAGGGGGATACGTTGTTGTAGGTGGTAATTGTTGAAATTCCATTAATTGCGTACACAAATCCTGGAAATTAAACCTATTTTTATATTCACTGTAATCCATAATTATCGCGACTCCATTTTTGCCACCTCCCTTTGTTTTTGTTGCTGTTGTCGGTTGGCAAAGTTTTATTATCGTTTCGCGTTCTTTAAGAATTTATAACCAAGCTGGAAAAAAAAGGGAAAGAGAAAGACAAGAAAGAAGAAATTAATTAATTATATGTGTCATTATTAATTAAAGCAAATGAGAAATTAAAACGGTAATGGAATATCCGGTTTATAAAACAGACGCAGATGATTGCATGACATTAAATTCTAAAGGATTGTAAAGAAACAACAACTGGGATTAGTTTTATTCAATAATAACTTAAAAATTCAATGAAAATGTTGATGATTGTGTCTCTTTAGCTGTGGGGGATTGCCCCTCAAGAGGTAGGCGTGGGAAGCTTCAAAAAATAATTTTTAAATGCAAAATTATATTTTTTTTTAATGCCAAGAATAGAAAGGGTACGGTTCCCATTTTCGCTTCTCATAGAACTTGGTTTCTACCAAAGAACTCTTTCCGCATCTGAATTTCCGTAAAACCCAACATACTCCAATTTGTTCAGACCGCTTAAGGATTCAAATATCTAAATATCATTTTCAAATGTCAGTATATCAAAACAATTCGTTCAGCTCTTCAAAGAACATCACACACATAAAAAAAACACATAATTGATGAAAATAATCTTGTAACGATGAAGCAGCGAGCAGCTGTGCAAAGTCAAGGGTAAATTGTGAACTAGGGTTGAAGTGTTAATTCGTAGATTTGTATTCATTGCACGCAATGTCGTCTTATCGCGGTTAAACAATCGAACAAACAACAGCGGGTTTATAAAACTGGAAAATGGTTCGATGGATGAGGCCCACCACCAGATGAAATGTTTAATAGAATTTAATAGAAGAAGGAAATTGTGAGGGATCTGTAATAACAGTACTTTAGGATATTGGCTCTAGGCAATAAATTAAATCAGTTTAATACCAAAGAATGTAGAATCCTGTAAGATAGACTCAGTCCAATTAGGGATCCAAAAGTCGTTGTTTGGAATTAAAGAAATTCAAATTTGATTTTATACAGAAAATGTTTCTACAGACTTTCAAACTGTTTTCTTTGCAGATACATGATTTCGTCTGATCTAGGCTGTAGCTCTAGGAAGAAATTTTATTGGCTGTTGCTAGGTGAAAATGTCAAATAACTATAAGGTTGATTGAAGAATTATCGATAACAATTGTAATCCTTCGAAACATAACCACTACTATCAGTAACACCAAATCTGTCATATCCATGATATTGGTGTTTTGATTTCATCGGCAGCTGTTTTACTCGGAAACCTTTGGTTCATCCTTTTCAGTCTAGGAAGAACGAATTTGTTAGGTATAAAGATACCAAGTATTGTTAGCAGGGAGGGTGCCTAGGCAAATCTGCCTGGAAAAGCATTTAGCGGACTTGTATATTATAATGACATATAAGTCTGAGAAGAACGTTGGGGTTTCTATCTTCCAAATTGCCTATGTCTGTTGTTAGATAACATGAGACATCTGCATCGTGGGTGCTCAATCGTTTATACCTCTTATTCTTCTTCACATAGTCTACAATAGCCAGGAACACTTTTATCCCATTTTGAGCTAGTTAAGGTCAAATATCTGATAATGCAGCCTGGAGGTAGCTTTGACTATTTAAGCAAACATCTATTGACCTGTTTGGGGAATATTGGATAAAATTACACCTTATTATTTGCCATTCCTACAAGGACTGATTTGTGAGTCTCAAACAGTACATGATCTAATTTGGCGGCATGTATTGACTAACAAGTCATACCTGTCCAGGTGAATAGCAATTCCGTGGTTAATTTCTCTATTTCCCTTTTTTTGGTATCAGAAACGAAAACAGCTCTCGAAAAATTCCGAAGGAGAAAAATTAGGTATCATGGAAGCTCTCAAAATCGAATTTTGCCCTAGAACAAATCTCATTTGCATCATTGAAGGGATATTGTTAGTTTTTTATAAAAAGCACAAGCACTTCCAATTTTTTCTCCATTTTGCACAGAATTTAGGATAAACAAGGTACGAAAAAGACTCATTAGCGTTGCCACATTTGCAAATTATTTCTTCTTATGATTGGAGGAATGATCCCTTGAGAAAAATGCTGTGTGATTAAAAAAAGCTATCAGGAATTTGAACTTTTATGTTGCTCCCTAGCCTTATCAACATCCAACACACATATTCGCGTGCTAATATCATAAATTTGTTTGTTTATGCTGAAAAATAGTAATAAGAACATAGCACTTTAAATTTGCACAAATAGGGCACACGAGGTACGAAAAAGACTCTTTAGCATTGTCATATTAGCCAATTATTGTTCTCCTATGAGAATATTTCTCTCTTGAGAGGAATGTTTTTCGTGGGAATAGATTCGGCTTACATTATCGATTTTAAATCTAAATTCCAACGGTAAAGAAGAGAGTCAATTTTTGTTACATCAAAAAAAGGATGTTCCTGCCCATTTAAGTAGAAATATATGTCTTATGGAGTATTAAATAAAGGTGTAGGTTCCATGGAGAAGATATAGAAAAGAAATCCTATCTCATGGAAAAAAAGTTGTTCGATCGTGCTAACATTTTTCTCAACTTCACAAAACCGACAGCAGTTAATATTTCTGTCGTCGCTGTTACTAGTTGTTGTCCATTGGTGCCCCTAATCACGGCTTTGTAAAGGATGGAACCATTTCTGGGTCCTGAGACAACCGACTAAAAAACTTGGCGATGACTCAAGGAAAAATGTAGTTGTGGATTTTAGAGAGAAGGATATGTGTTACTCAAGGCTAGCCTTGATTTACTACTACTAAGAACTTTTGTTTGCCAGTGTGAATGTGTAAAAAATTCTCCATTGATTGTTACCAATTAATGTGGGAAATTAAGTGTGAAAGCAATGTCACGATCCCAATAGATCGCCTTCATATATAACAACCATTTTACGTTACCAAAATATGAGTGTGAAAAATTACAAAATGAAAAAACATATAAATGAGGCCAAGTACACCATACCAGATATAAATAAAGGAAATGCTGTCTAATTGGTCTTCCTACAATTTAACCCAAAATATAACAATTGTTTTCCATTATACTCTCCGCGTCCGTTCCTTCCCTTACCAAAAATCCCATCACGAACATTTATTGTTGACGCCACTCACTACCCCATACAGAGAGGGAGAGAGCGCGCGTAGTATTATTTCTTGAACAAAAAACTACACCAACAAACACATTGTTGTTGTTGGGAAAAAAGAAATGAGGAAGGCAACGAGCGACAAAGAACATTACAATTTGTTGTTTAACAAATTAATATGAGAATCTTTTTTATGTGTTTTATGGCATTTCATTCATCAACTTCAGCCATCATCATAATCATTAGCGCGGCGTTGTTCAAGTAAGTGTAGGCAGAACGAGAGACGTGAGACGAGAGCATGTGAGGTGGGTATGCCTATACAAATGACGGTTGGATGTTTGGTCGTATGTTCGGTCGGTCGGTCGGTGAGTCCATCGTTTTCTCGTTGATCGCTTCGGCTTTAGAATCACCCCAACAACAATAATGGTGGCATTGCCACCACCATCACCACCACCATTGGTACACTACTGCACTACGACCGACTACCACTGCTGGAAATCAAAGAAAATAACAACAGCCATGGCTACTCTTTGTATACAACAGGAAGAGGGTGGTGGTAGTTCGGCTAAGGACTAAAAAAACTACACTAGAGGCCAAACGAGAAGAGCTCTACTAGCTAGCTTGCTATCTATGTTCCTGATGATAAAAGCAATGATGTGCTGCTGCACTCACAAAAAGCAGTGCACATCATCGTCGTCATCTCATCTGAAAACAGGATTCATTTTTATCATCTTTTTTTTTTTTTGCTCATTGTTATTAACGAAAAAACCCAAAAACAACAACAATAACAGCAGCAACGAAATAAGCAGTAAAAGAAATTGTTTTTCTTTTGTTCTTTGGCTTTCTCTCTTAATACACTTCACTCACAGGCACACACACACACACTCATACACAACAGTGCCTTTTAATGAAAAAACCCCAACAAACGAAGACGAACATTTGTATGGACGACGACTATGGGTCTTGTTGGATGGATAGGATGGATGATGGCAGCACAAAACATTGAAGGAGAACAACAGCAACAACAACAAAAAAGCAAATAGCTCTCTCTATGGCAGTTACATTACTTCCTCCCGGCTAGCTATTGTTTTTGTTGTAGTTGTTTTGATGAATTTTCTTGTTAAAAAAATACACGGATTTCATCGTTGTTAACAGAGATGTACTGCTGCCACTGCTTCTTCTTCATCATCATCTTTTGCCTATTTCTGTTAAAAAGAAAAAGAAGAAGCAAATTGCCAACATTCTAAATAAAAGAAAACAGAAGAGTTGAGCGCGGAGGAGGAAGCTGAAGTTTTGTGTTTTTCCGGATTTTTCACTTACAACAAACAAACGACCGACAATGGCCGACCGACCAATGACTGATCCAAGCAACGACGAGCAAGACAACAAACCGACCGACCGACGGAATAACACACGAAAAAACAGAGTACGTTTTGTATTCAAGTGGCTGCTTGCTATCCCTGCAATCGTCGTCGTTGGTTGTTGTTGTTGCTTTTTTTGTTATAGTGATAGCAGTCGTGGTTGTTGTTTTTGTTGTTGTACTTTTATGGTTTAAGCACTTAAAAATTATTTGAACACACATCAATCCATCCATCCATCTTAAAATACATATGTTTTCATCATCACCACATCCATCCATCGTCGTCTACTTCCTCGTCTTGCATGCAGCACAACACCCTACCCTACACCGTGTTGGTTGAGTTTTATCGGCCAGTGCTGCCAATCCAAAAGTAGGAAAATATCTATTTTCCATTTATGAAATTGCCAAGATTTTCACAATTGTTTGTTTTTGGTTTATTTAATGGACAGGAGGTTCGTTCGTTCATTCGCCGTTGTTTGCATTTCATATCATTAACAATCAATCAGTTCGCTGCTCACACTATATTAAATTAAAATCAATATCAATAGTCAAAATAGAACAAAGCACACTTTGTTATGCCGCACACAGAACACAACCAACCAACCGACCAGCCAAGCAATGTTCCCACAACCAACCTCCTCTTCTAGCCGTCCATAACGTTTCTTTATTTTTGATGGTGTGCGTCCGACGTGCGTTTTGTTTGTACAAAACGACGAAAATGATGAAGTTCATGCAAATATGTATGCATGTATGTGTATGTATTGTGGTTAAATGCGACACAAGAGAGGCTCGGGGTACGTGCGTGTGTTTTTTTTCACATTTCACAAATGCCTTAATTTTTAAGCGCCTCTTAATTTATTTTCATCTCACCTTCTTTCTTTGTTATTCCTCTTTTTTGTTTTTAATTAAAGCATATTAACCAACAAACAATGAAAGGAGGAAAACCGAATCCCTTAATTTGTTTTGCCACCGACTCCACTTCACCAAACCATTTTGTATTTGCCAAAAAAAACGAAAAATCTATTAACATTTAGTTTTGCAATCGCACTTTACCCACACACGAACACACTTCACTTCTTTTTGTACATTTTGTTGTATTTTATATTGCTTGATTTTCACTTCATCACTCACTTTTTTTGCATATATATTTTCCTTGCTTTTTTCTGCTTCTATACTCTCATTCTTTTTTTATTTAATGACTTTTGTGTAAGATTTTTCTTCCTTCGTGCTTGCAAGTAATCTATACCGTATTTCACTGACTTATTGCCTTGTTATTAGCTGTTACGTCTTGTCATTCGTGTATGTTTTATAATTTCCAACACTTGGCACTTGTCTAGTTATTGTTTTTTATAAATAATTTATAATATTTAAACACAAAATTTGCCAAATTATCTTTCCCAAAAGAGCTAAATTTTTTCTCCGCGCACGAAAAAACTGGCAACCATTTTGTATTATACACGGTTGCAAAAATTAGTAGTATAGCTACTCTACGACAATCGATAACGGCTGTACAAACAAGTATCAAATGGTAATCGATGTAGTCGATAATGGCTAACGGCGATAAAAAATGAACAAAATAGAAAGACACAAAAATAATTTTGGTAAAATAAACAAAAACAAACTATTAAAAACGCTAAATGATACTTTTTATCATAATTGTTATTAATTTGTTTTCTATGTCTATTTAAAGACAATTATTTAAACATGTTTCTGCAAAACGTATATTTTAATCGATAAATCGTATGAAACATGGCAACATGTTAAACTGTGTTATGTTATAGATAAATGCTTCTCGACTTTTTTGAAGGCTACGTTTGCATTGCAACTACTTCTCATTGTACAGTGCTAAAGAGTGATTTTAAAAAGCAATAGCTGATTACAATTTTTTTAAAAGTGTACCCGACTTCTGCCAATTCTGTGTATGTATTTGTTGTTTTGAAAAATAAAAACAAATTATTTTCAAAATTAATGATTGGAAGACGCCTAAATAGCGAGACGTGAATTAAAGCTAATCGCCGGTTTTGTCATGGAATTGAAAGATAGAACTGTTTAAAATTTTTTTTAAGAAAATGCAGGCTTTTGATTCATTTTTCCTGCTGTTTAACTAATTTTAAAAATGAGAAAAATATTGAATAAAGGTCGAAACAACTTGTTACATGCAAATTTGACAGAAAGCGGGCAAAGCCTCACAGCTGTATTTCTGTAGTTTTTCGAAGCTGTTCTACCTCGTCATTGTACCATCGTCTATATAATTTAACGCTTGAATATTAATTCGTACAAATGTTGACCACGACTGAGATTCATATCCATCTATTGGTTTAGTCCTATTTTGCCATACTATGTCTAACATTTCCGCCAATATTTCACGGACAAAAGCTTCAATGTTGTTTTCCAATGCATCAATTTAAACTGACTCGTCTATGTAGTTATGAACAGTCTAAACGCGTTAAATCGCATGATCTAGGCAGCTAAATAAAGTACATATCACCGAATTTTCTATTAAATAAATTTGTCTGTTTTTTGTGAATATTCGAACTAACTCCTAAAAATCTCTACATCTCTAAATTTCCCTCCGAATTTTTAAGGAATTTTCTTTTCGATTCGTCTCTTGTATTTTTTTTTAATTTTTAATAAAAATTTTTCAATTTCGGTGACTATACAAATTTTTTACTGAAAAAAAAATAAAAATGTACTAATCTTTGAAAAAAACACATTTAAAAATTTTGACATATTAATGTTCCCACGCGTTGATCGTCTATCTGTATACTTCTACCATGGGATAAACTAACGATTAAAGGGAATGGAGGATAAAACAAAATTATGTGCTCTACATTGATGATTTTAAAATTGTTTTCGCAATTGTCGGGACGCCTAGATCGTAAATGTACTATTAACTAATTAATTAATTATTTGCGTTAATTTTTATCGTTCTATTTTGAACTTGTCGTTCGCAATATACAAGCATAAAAAGATATCATTTGAAATGTATTTATTAATTTAAGTGCTACTGGGTAACACAAAACAGTTAAAAACAGGGTGACAACATTGCGTCATGTATACGATATCGGAATTTCGATAAACCACATTTCGTACTATCGATATAACTAACTGAACGCCGTTGCTTTAATACTTTTTGGACTTTGTGCTATTTTTACACTCTTCAGACAACTGATAGGTCCTTATTACAACCAACTTCTATATCCCAAAAAATAAATTCTTAAATACATTCATTATTAAATAAAAAGTTAGAATATTTGGATAGTTTACCAAATCTTTGCAAGCAATTCTTAATCATTGGAAGATAATGGAAATTTTCCTTTGAGTATTTGTTGCACTGATAGGGCAATATAAATTTATTTTGCCGATTGGAGTCTTGTAAAAGTTCAACAGATGATTGGCTTCAACTCTGGTTTAGTAAAAACTTTTTTTTTTTTTAATTTTCTGAGGTAAACATTTGTATCTTTATTCCGGGCAAATATATATTTTCTTGAGGGATACCGGGGAAAACGGTCAGCCTACGTAGACAATAATCTACGACAAAAGATAGCACCCATTACGAACTCTTAAGTACGAGTTGTAAACAATTCGGTTAGAAAATTGGCTAAAATCATGATATGTCCGAGGTTATGTGGGGTCTATACAAAAATGTGGACCAACATTGCCAATTTACGAACTCAACTTGCCTTTACGAACATTGTAGTGTCAAACATGAGTATGTGGAAGAGTTACAAACGAAATGACAAAGTTAATATTCCATCCATTGTAAAATAAATTCAAAATTAATTAATAAAATTAAAAACATTTCCTAAAATCGATGAACTTAAAATCGAAAATCGATTACAAAAAGTCAACTTTGCGATTTTCAACGCCAAAAGACGATTATTCGAAAGTCGACTTAAGTATCCCTATTTCTCTCTAGTTCTCATTCTCTTATTGGAATTGCAGGTATCAGATGCGCGCGTTGTGTTCTTTTTTCTTCAATTAATATTTTAGTGACATTTAAAAAGAAATACATTGTCCAAAAATCACAAAAGAATTAAATATTTTGAAAGTTGAATAAATTAAATGTATTAAAAGCGTGATAGTATTTCATTTTTCCAAAGTAATTTGGAATCGAAAATTGCATAGAGTTTTGGCAAACACCTTTTCAAATAAGGCAATAAACAACAAAAAAGGTAAACGATAAAGTGCAACGACCTTGAACTTCGTAGTGGCTTCAGAATCTAACTAAAAATTGAATAAATAATAAAAATAAATCTCTTAAAAAGATTGGTTATGATTTGAAGATTGTGTCATCGCTGTTAAGATTTTGTGAGATTTTGCGTGTGCGGGAATCTTTGCTACCAAGGACATTTTAAGAAGAAAACGAAGAGCAAAAAACACATTACAATCGAAGCTATTGCCGGCTGCTTGAAAAGTACACACTCCACCTATTCGATTTTACTATTTACAGAGTGTGCGTGTGTTTGCGTTTGTCTAACCAATTGTTTGGCCACGGCTTTTATTGTTGTTGGCATTTCGTTTATAATAATTCATAAATAAACAACAATACTATAACAACAGTTGTTATAGTTTTTAATTAACAAACTAAACAAAGTATTAAATTTTCAACACCAAACCTAATCCTACAACCCACAGCAGCGAGCACGCGGCGTTGTGTCTTGGAATTTATCTTTGGAATTAATTTTTGAAATCGGCAAAGCACAGATATCAGTTGGGGAAAATGTCACAAGGTGCAACTTTGGATCAGGCTGGAGGTAAGTGTATCTAGACGAACTATTTTTACCACATAGGCATTAACTCGTATGTTGGTGCGTTATTTATTTTCATTGAATTCACGTGACGCCATTCCGGGAACCAGCCCATCATTGTTCACAAAACAAACACCCAATAAAAATAGCTATATTGGGGAATTAACTTGATAACGATTGCGCGTCTGTTTGCATAGCAGCTATAAAGCAAATATGGAAACAAGTAATTAGTCTACAAGTGACAAATACAATATGCCTTAACATTTAGGAATAAAGTTAAAAAGATATTTCCAAGAAATATTTGAACTGAGGTGTAAATACTTTTATTATTATAGCAAATTCAAATGTTAAAAGAGATATTCTTCCACCATTGTCAATCTAGTGGATTTGAAAAAATATTTCAAAAAATCGCTAGACTGAAAAAAATATTAGCATCGTTTAGATTGGACTACAACATGCGCATCATTTGAAAACTTATCCAAAATCATATACAGGGTGAGTTAAAAAAAAACTCCAACAAAGTCAAACGCCATAATTTTTACATTTTTTTTTTAAATTTTATTGAATAAAAGCAAAAAATGTCGGCATTTTCGAAATTTTAGAATAAGTTTAAATTTGTTCGAATTGGTCACCGTTGGCACGAATTATGACCTTCAAACTGCCAATTAAACCGTCACACGCTGCCCGAATGTGGCTCTGTGGTATTTTGACCCATTCCCGGTGAAGCTCTTGCTTGAAGTGATCGACGCTTTGGTATTTTTTAGTGCCAACCTCGCTTTCCAAAATACTCCAGATACAATAGTCCAACGGATTGGTATCCGGAGATTTTTGTGGCCATTGTGCGCTGGAAATGAAGCGATGAACCTCATTTTTTAACCATTCTTGGGTGGCGTGTGCTGAGTGCGATGGTGCTGAGTCCTATTGGAATGTCCAAGGTCTGCGGCCAAAACGTTTGCGTGTCCAAGGCTTTAATACACCCTCCAGAATATTTTCGCGATAATATTCGGCATTTATTCCGATGCAAAGGTCGATTAGTACGACCGGAGAGCGCCCATCGGCTGTTATGGCGGCCCACACCATCACAATGGCCGGCGCTTGAGTTCTGCTGGCCAACTGAAGGTGCACATTTTCAGCTGTTTACGAAATTTCAGTTTGTTTACAATCTGCTGGACAACGAATGTTTTCTCATTGGAGACGGAGAAACACAAATTCGGCAGTTCACCACTTTCGGCCAAGCGAAGCAACTATTTCGCTCTTTTGAGTCTATTTTCTTACTGTTGCGGTGTAAATTCTTGCACTTTTTGGAATTTCAATCACTTGCACTTTTTGGAATTTCAATGGCTCTACCCTGAAGTCATTTTTCAATATTTGCCGAAGGGAATATTGCGATATCTTCAGCTCACGAGTCATTCTTCGGCCACGGCGACACGAGTTTCGATCAAGTCGCTTCTTTGCTTTTCGAAACATTTCTGCTGATGTTTCTGTTTTCTTCCGTCCCCTTCCTTGACGTCGGGTTATGCTACCAGTATCACGGTAACGAGCGAAGGTACGAGACACAAAAGATTTATTCAAATTTAAATGCTGGAGTGCTCTAACGATTGCCCCTTGAGGTTTTCCAGCCAAATACAAAGAAATCACACTATCACGCTTGAATCCCATCACGAATAACTTTTTTCTGGAAAATTCTCACCAAAAATGCTTTGGTACGCTGGTAAACAATATAATGAGCTGTCACTGGAATAATTTTAACAGCTGTCGGACGAGAGGCTTAGAAATGACAGTGGTCTGTAGTTGGTTGCAGTTTTTTTATCTCACCCTGCAGTCCAAATCTGGCACGTTGTAATATATTTATCAGTCTCAGGTCAGTCAATAATGGCCAACTGCTTCGGAACCTCCACCAAAAAGCGTCTACAGTTTGAAAAATCATAACTCAAGGCTGGGGGTATACATCTGTCGGCAAAATCGACTGATACTATTTTACTTGCTACTGTTTATTTTTATTTCCGTGAAACCCAAACTATAGAACAACTAGCAATGGGTAAATGTTATTATTAGAATATTATTGAGTATTTTTAAGTCTGTGACCAACATCGGAAGGGAGATGTGTGTTTGTATGTGTGCTCGTGTTTTTGTTAATAACGTTACACACAGTCATTACGATTATAAAATAACCACTCATGGTCAAGTTTAAGCATAAAATTGCATTTTCTCGCCAAGGCCACACACACACACACATATTCTATCGTTGGAATATTTTTTTGTGGGTTTCTTCTTCGTCTCTATCGTTGACACTATATATTGCAGAGTTTTCCATAGGTTTTCCCGGCCTGCCATACCATGTCATGAAAATTGTTGTGGCGTTAGACCACACAATGTTGAGGGGTTTTTGTTATTTAGCCCAGCAAAGTGTTTGTCTTAAAAGGTCACCGGTTATTTTGCCAGGTTCTGGGTAAATGGGTATTTTGTGTCCCCCCATTTTGGCTGCTGTTATAGTTGTTGCTTTAGTCCATAATAGTTTCCAATATGCATGGAAGAGTGTGTGTGTGTGTGTTTTTGTGGGCAAACAAACAAAGAGCGTAGAACGTGAATGGCATCTGAAAACTAAATGACTTGGAGAAATTTTCAATCTCTTCAATGGCGCGTTGAAGGAAGGCCGGACAAATTGGCGAAGAGTGGCACCGGTTAGTGATAGAGTATAATATCATAAGAAATATTCAAAATGTTTATTTGTACAAAAATTCGCCCAAAACTTAGTTGAGTGGAAAAATATTTCTTTCCGCTTCCACTGCCGTTCAAGCGTAAAGGAATTTTCTTGGTAGTAGTTGTGGTTTAATAATAGGGTGGAGTAGTACAAAATTGGTTTGAGAATGTGTAACAACCTCAATGGAAGGGGAGTTTTGTTACGGCTATTTTTGACAGAATTATCGAAAGTTGTCGGAAACTTTTTTCTTGTTTTAATTTCACCAATTAACGAAATTTGTCACTAAGTTAGCAACTTAAAGGAAGCAGTGACTAAGATTTACCTCTATAATTAATATTTTATTAACTTTCACTTTGACTTTTTATTCAAAACTTTCCTTTTTGATTTTACCAATTTTTGTCGAGGTATAGAATTGCACTATTATTAGGAAAATATTTTTGTTTGTTTGCCAAAAGTTAACTTCCTTGTCATCCCTGAGTTCCGCAGACCTATCTAGGTACGTCCGGTATCCATTTCGTCAGAAGAAAATATCTTCCTCTGATTATCTTCTACAAAACCCTGGATATTTTCTCCGATGATAATGAACAGAATGCCAACGATAATGAACTGAAGGCCATATACTAAAAGTTTATAAAGGGTTCTAACTCCAATGGCAGAACACTGTCTATATATGTTCAGGGTAAAATAAGAAAAAATGCAACAAAGTAAAACATTATAATTTTTTCATTTTGTTTTTTAAATTTTATTGAATGAAAGCAAAAATTTTCGGAAATAGAATCAAATTTTTGAATAAGTTTAGAATTAGTCACCTTTGGCATGAATTATGGCCTTCAAACGGCCAACGACCGTCACACACTGCCCGAATGTTGCTCGGCGGTATTTTGGCCCATTCCCGGTCAAACGCTTGCTTGAGGTGATCGAAACTTTGGTATTTTTTAGTGCCAACCTTTGCTTTTCAAAATACTCCAGACACAATAGTCCAACGGATTGGTAACCGGATATTTTGATGGCCATTGTGCGCTGGAAATGAAGTGAGGAACCTTATTTTGTAATCATTCTTGGGTGGCGCGTGTTGAGTGCCATGGTGCTGAGTCCTGTTGGAATGTCCAAGGTCTGTGGCAAAAATGTTTGCGTGGCCAAGGCTTTAAAACACACTCCAGAATATTTTCGCGATAATATTCGGAATTTATTCTCTCATTTATGGCGGTCCACACCATCAAGGCAAGTAAACACGATCATTTTGTTTGTTTACAACCGCTGGACAATGAATGTTTTCTCACCGGAGACGGAGAAAACCAAATTCGGCAGTTAACTACTTTCGACCAAGCAAAGTAACTCTTTAGCTCTTTTGAATCTATTTTCTTCCAGTTGCAGTGTAAGTTCTTGCACTTTTTGGAATCTCAAAGGCTTTACCCCGAGCTTATTTTTCAATATTTGCCGAAGGGTATATTGCGAAATGTTCAGCTCACGAGCCATTTTTCGGCCGCAGGAAGTGGGTTTCGATCAAGTCGCTTCTTTACTTTTCGAACCATTTCTGCTGATGTTGCCGTTTTCTTCCGTCCACTTCCACTTCCTCGATGTCGGGCTACGCTACCAGTATCACGGCAACGAGCGATGGTACGAGACACAAGAGATTCATTGACCTTTAAATGCTTAATTGCTCTAACGATAGCCACTTGTGGTTTTACAGCCAAATATAAAGAAATCTCACTATCACACTTGAATTCCATCACGAATAACTTTTTTTCTGGAAAATTCTCAACAAAATGCTTTTGTACGTTTGTAAACAATATAATGTGCTGTCACTGGAATAATTTTAACAGCTGCCGTACGAGTGGCTTAGAAATGACAGCAGTCTGAAGTTGGTTGGTTATATATTTTGATCCTGGTCACAATTTCCAACCAAAGAGACTGCTGAATGAAGACTCAGGTCTCAAAATAGTCCCCATGTTAAAGTACCCCCAATATGGATATTTTGAGAGTCCTATCCACACTTTTGTCTGGATGGACTTCAGTTTCGAAATGTTCAATTTTAACGAAATATATTCCACATTTTTCCAAGTTATGGCATGGGACTCAATCCCCAACTAGATTGAGGAACTACGATTTTACCATAGTTTCATTTTTAGCTGTTTGGAAATAAAATCGATGATGTTAAAGTAGCCCGCCTACTTTATGTGCGTACAATGGTTTATGACATTTCTGAAATTTACACCATTTCAATAATGTCTACCCCCCTGTAATTTTATTAACCTTTCCATGCTCTTGGCAATATCGAAACAAAAACACAATAAATAAACAGGTT